TAGTAGACAAAGGGCTGAACTTGGAGTCCAGAAGACCTGAGTTCATATCTTGCCTCAGATAGCTACTAGCTGTGTCCTTCTGGGAAAGTCACCCAACCTATCTGAGACTGAGGCAGACTGTTTTACTTTTGAAGTTATAAATCAGTTGCAATTTCAGTGGATCCCTGGTATATTGACATATTATAATATTAATAATAATTAGCAATTATATTATGCTTTAAGGTTTGAAAGTGATTTACAAATGCCATCACATTTGATTCTCAGAACAACCCTAGGAATAGATGCTACTATTATCCCCATTTTACAGATGAGGAAATAGGGACTGAGAAAGGTTAGGTGATTTGCCCAAGGTCACACAACTAATAAGTATCTGAAGCAGGATTTGAACTCAGGGCTTCCTGATTCCAAGTCTAACGCTCTATCTAATGCATCACAAAGACTCCTTATGGCACGGCAGGGCAGAGCTGGCCCTCTGCTTATTCCTGTGTGCCAATGCATCAGGTGCATCCCTGATAAATGGTTTCTGTGTCAAACCATGCTATAAATTGCTCGGTATCTTAGGCATAAAATATACTGAAGAGTTTGGACGATGATTAATTTATCACAAGGCCAGCATAACCTTCTTCTTGATTAATGTTGTTGAGTCGTTTCAGTCATGTCTGACTCTTCCTGACCCCGTTTTGGGTTTTCTTGGCAAAGATACTGGAGTGCTTTTCTATTTCCTCCTCAGATCATTTTACAGATGAGGAAACCGAGGCAAACAAGGTTCAATGACTTGTCCAGGGTCATACAGCTAGTAAGTATCTGAGGCCAGATTTGAACTCTCAAAGAAGAGTCTTCCTGACTCCAGGCCCAGCACTCTGTCCCCTCTGCCACCTAACTGCCATTCTTGAATACCTTATCTATTCTTGTGGGAGTCCAAATGATTTGACAAAGATATCACGAGGAGGTAAAAGCACCTGTCCTCAGAAGTTAACCTGATATTTGAGGATGACACTGCTGACCTGACCCACTGTTAGTATAATTCGTTCTTTGACCTTTTCTTCCCACTGGAATGGCAGCATTTTCCCTGACAAAATATAAACTCCACATTCTCTCACTCAATCTCCCCCCAGGACCAATGAAACGCATTTGTAAGACTGCTAGTCAGTGTTAGGGCTGAAGCCTGTGGCAATGATTTGGAGCAAAACTCACCAGCTCATATGTGGCCTGAACCCTACACTGAGGTCTCATTAGCACGGCAATAACTAACTGAGAGAAAGCCACAAAATCCCCCAAAGAATCATTTTTGGATCAAAAAACCAAAGAGTTCAAGGAGAAACTAATTCTGACCATTTGTTAGCCAGTTTTATTTCCTTCACGTTGAAACGCAATTGTTGACCATCTCTGGCTCCTGCAATCCTTCTTAATCACCCTTTCACACACAGCTCTATTTAATAAACTAGGACTGTCAATAATCATTTTGAATCAAATAAAAAATAAGGCTGTTCTGGGAAAACAGGCTAGCACGAAGATTATTGGCCACCAATCCTCCTTCCCATACCTGTACCCTCACCGCATAAAAAGGGACTTTATTTTTTCTTTGTTATCAAACCATTGTGTAAAGAAATGCCTAGCATAAGTTTTGTACCTTATGAAATCTGGGACTCATTAGGAGTTTTTCTCTCCCTTTTTTATTTTTTGACTTGGTAACAACTGATTTTCAAAAAATTCTCTATCTGACTACTTCTTATTGGCCTTTCTCACCAGACCTTCTTTCTCCCACCCCCATACCCCCATGAATTAAAGTCCTCCCTACCAAGCTCTTTCCTAGACCCTCTTCTCTCTCTGCACTTTTGGTGATTTCATTTATTCCCATGGCTTGCAGTATCAACGATATTCAGATGGTACACAAATCTAAATTTCCAGGCTCATTCTAAAGCTTATTCCAGGTTCTCCCCTGAATTCTTATGCAAAATTGCCAACTGCCTCATGGACATTTTTCTACCTGGAAGTCTTCCTAGTGTATTTGAACTCCACATGCCCAAAACAGAAATTACTGTATTCTCTCTCTCCTAGACTGCTTATTTCTATTGATTGCATAGTTACCCATCACCCAGATTTAGGATCTTACAGGCCTCTGATTCTTTCCTTTCTTTCATGGTCCCCACATTCAAATAGCTGGCAAATACCACTAATTCTGACTTCATAACATTTATCGTACCTATCTCTTCCTCAACTTTCACACAGCTGCTATCTGAGTTCAGCCAGAAGGTACAATGGATAAAGTACCATGCTTGGAGTCAGGAAGACCTGAGTACAAATCCAGCCTCAGACTCTTACTACTTGTGTGGCCTTGGGAAAATCACTTAACTACTGTTTCCCTCAGTTGTTTCATCTGTAAAATGGGAATAAATAATAACACTAATAAATGTTTGTAAAGTGCTTGGCACAGTACCTGGCACATAATAAGTGCTGTATAAACGTCAGTTGCTATTATTATTCAGGCCCTCATCACTCTTCCTCTTGAACTATTATAATAGATTTCTAAGTGGTCTCCCTGTATTAATTATTTCTCCACCCCAATCCAGACTTCATACAGCTGACAAAATAAACTTCCTAAAAATTTGGGAGGATGTAGACAAGAGTCTCATAGAATAACAGGCATGGATGGGACACTTCTGAAGCAATGTCATCATAGATCTATCTGAGCACTTGAAGGCAGAGAGGAAGGCAAGAGGAAGGAAAGAAGGAAGGAAGGAAGGAAGTCTATGTAACAGGATAAGGATATATTTGGAAGTGGAAATGTGGGGTGAATATGACGTTAAAACAAAAGGCATCAATGAGACTTCTAAAAATTAAAACATACCTTCCTAATACATGTCTGACCATATTACTTCTGTCCTGAAAAACCTTCAGTGGCTGCTCATTATCTATAAAATACAAATCCCTTCACCTGACATTTAAGGCTTTTGACAACCTGCCTCCAACATACCTTTCTAGCTTCATTATACATTATTCCTTTTCAGGCACTCTATGTTCCAATCAAAATAGAATGCTAACTATTCCACAATCTCATCCTGCCCTTTTATACTCCAATGTACTCACACAAGCTTTTTCCCACATCTGATAAGTGCTCTCTCTCCATCTCTGCCTGGTAAAATTCTTCTAGTCCTACAAAGCCCAGAGCTAGGTCCCAATTAGGGCAAATCACAAAGCCCCTGATGGTCACATTATTCAAATTTGCACTTCATATTTCCATTGGGTCAGAAACGATGACCACATTTTACACAATTATAACTTTAAATAGTGTGAATTTGAATACATGTGACCATTCTGGGTGATTTATTATTCCCACTAATAGGGATTGAGCTGTGTTAACTTTTGCCACAAAACCTTTCCTGATCGTTTTCTGATTCCTTTCTCTATACTTAAGCTGAGAACAACCTCTTTTATCTTGACTCATATTTTTTTTAAAAGCAGCAGTTTGGCCAAATCACGTTCTATCAATCTATTTGTTTCTGTTGTGTCCAACTCTTCTTGACCCCATTGGGATTTTCTTGGCAAAAATACTGGAATGGTTTGCCATTTCCTTCTCCATCTCATTTTGCAAATGAGGAAACTAAGACAAACAGGGTTAAGTGACTTGCCTAGGGTCACACAACTAGTGAGTATCTGAGGCTGGATTTGAATTCATGAAGATGAGTCTTCCTGACTGTAGGCCTGGCACTCTATACACCGTGCCACCCGGCTGCCCCTGGAACTACTTGTATGCCACCAATTAAACTGAAAGTTCCTTGAGAACAAGGGGCTGTTTCCTTTTTTGACTTTGTGTCTCAGGTACCTTTCACTGAAAGCACTGAATGAATTCCTGCTAAAAAGATTTGAATTTGAATTTAGTAATGTGATTGGGAATATGAAATAAGCTAAGTTTCAAAACTATTAACTCTCACAAATATAGAACAATTCCCTGTCTCTAAGAGAAAAAGTATTTGATTATGAATCCACAGGCACCTTAAACCTTTATACTTGTGCCATAATCAAGAGGAAAAAAATCTAAAACCACAGTTTATAATTGTTCATTAAAAGCAATACTTCAAAATAACAAGCTGAACCCAAATTAATTTCTGAGATTAGTGTATTGTTGCTTTTCTTTAAGTATGGCATTGCTTAGGGGAAAAAAAACTGCCAATGAGTAAATGAGCTAAAATTGCATCACTTCAGAATTTAAAACAAAAATGGAAATGAGAAAGAAATTTACTGGGGGGAAAGGAAGATAATCTTGGTTTTTTAAGTCCTACAGAAGAAAGAAGTCAGTTCCCTATATCTGCCCAGTTTTACAGTTTCAAGAACATAATAATATTCCAACCCATTTTCATCACTAGACATAGGATGTTTGGGAATGCTATTTGACTCTTTCTAAGAAGAAAATTAACTTAGATCACTTTTCAAAATTTCTATACAATGCAATTACTTTATCTGAACCTTCAATAGCAGAAGGAAAATAATAGACATGCCTATAAGAGAATATGAAATTAGGAATTCTTGGGAGGAAAAAGGGCACACTAGCTCAAAGCTTTTTCGATAATGACGGGAAAGTAACAGGCTGATATAAATATTTGATTTTTTTTTACTCTGAAGGAAAAGTAATAATTTCCCAAATAAACTATATCAAATCTTGACACTTTCTTCAGCTCCTTTCATTCCAAAACATGTTACCTCTCTATACTCCTAGTAATCACCTGGTCCTTGTCTTCATTGCTACACAAATTTGGCCATGCCAATTAATGTTTCCGAGAAAAGTATCACAATAGTTAATGGTTAATACTTGAAGAAAAACACAAGGAAAATATGAGAAGTTGGTCAGAGTTGGGGCTTAAAAAAAAGCCTATAGCCATACATAATCTCAGTGAACAACTGATATTTGCCTCAGTAGAGCATGAGGCAAACAGCACAGCTAAAAGGAAAAAGAAGCATCAGCAAGGGGGTTTCTAGCTCTTCTTGAAAGTCATGGAGATTACCTGATCGACTGGAATCTCAACTTGAGTGTCTTCATCTTCTTGTACTTCTGCTGCCCCCTCCATTTCAGATCTCTCTACTCCCGCTTTGAAAATGCCTTCATCTACAAAGAAAAATCGATTAGGAGGGGAAAGGAAAGTCCAATTCTGACATCGTGTGGCTTCTTCCTGAAACTACAGTCAAATCCTATTTAAGGGCGGGGTAGGGTGTGATGTGTTCTCACTAGGCATTTCTATTTCATTCAACCAAGAGGATTACTGTTGATGTAGTTTTGCTTTCTATCAAATGTGTACATTTTCACAATACAGAGAGACTGGAGACTCTAGTTCCACCCAAGAAAGCTCTTGACTCACCACCCCCTTTTGTTCTGATTTAATACCACCCTACACTTCTCTCCCATCCATGAAATGGAAATGATGCTTGCTAGGAAAAGTGGGGAGGGGCAAAAAACCTTTCATTTCAACCACATTTGTGATTAGAAATCCTAATGTCCAAAGAGAAAAGGAATACTTAATATTAAAATTGATATTATCCAATCCATACAAGACAATATAATCCTTCTGACTTGAAGCCAATATGCCCTACAAGTTACAGACTCATAATGCCTTTCACACCCCACATAAGTCATAATCAAGCCTGTATTTTACAGACCACCCTATGCGTTTCACAATCTCCAGTAATACATACTAGCACTTAATTGACTTCACTGCAAGGAAAATAGATTGATTTCATTCACCTTGCTCTATTTTTCTAAGCAAAAAAAAAAAAGATTCATGGGCTTGCAATACCTGAAAATATTCTTTAATTCTCCCCTTCACTTTTCTCTTCTCTAGGCTAAGTAATCAAAGAATCACAAATCTGTTACTTAGTTCCAGTTCCCATCTTCCAAACAGGTTAACATTTAAACCCTTCTTCAAGATGTGATCCCCTTCAGCAGTAAATCATAGTGTTGATTCACTATCACAGTCAAGAAATGTTTTCTTTCATGTAGCTTAACTATCTCTTGCTGCAATTTAAACCCATTTCCACTGTTTTGATCTTCCTAATCCTTCATATATTTAGAACAGCATATAGTCAACCTTTTCTATGTTTCTATTGTCTATGCTGTTTAGAAGCCATTTCCAGCTCTTTATTATTCCCATCATATCTATTTTTCATCTTTTAATCAATTATTTTTTACTATTCTTCACTGGACTCTCTCTAATTTTCCCATGCCTTTTCAAAAACATATGTAATTCACCTGGAATCCCTATCTCCCCATCTCCACCTTAAACCCCATTTCTTCCTTGAAACAGTGGAAACAGCACTGGCACTGGGGTTCAAAGGACTTGGCTATTACGTGCTATTCATGTGATCTTGGTCAAGTCATATCTCCTCTCTGAGTCTAGGTTTCCATATCTGTAAAATGAATGGGATGAACAAGAAGATCTTTCAGGTCCCTTTTCCAGCTCTAAATCTATGATCCCATGATTCTACGCATCCTTCTACTACACAATCAGTCAAAATTGATTTCTAGAATTCAGAGAGCCCTTTTTGTACCTTTCCTGGACAAGTAGTATAATCTGCTTTGTAGTATAATGACCTGTGTGTATTTGATATATCCCTATCTACTAGATTTTAAGTTCCCTGAGGGCTGCAAACTCCAATATTGTATCTTATTCGTTGTGTGTTTTCCCTGGTGTTTTGTACAGAGTAGGAAATTGATAAATGAGCATTAATAAATGCTCATTAAATAGAGTTGAATTCTCTATTATCCACATAGAATTACCTGCTTTGAGGATTTTCTATGCAAATTTGTAATCCCAGGATGAGGGTTGTTCCTGCCATCCAGCATGCTTCTCAACTATCTCTCCCTACTATTAATTGCTATGTGTTTAGCTAACACAAAGATATTTTTATATTAAGCTTTTCTTAGACTGTGTAGTCTTTGTATGTATATTACATATATACATACATAATTTATTACACAAAATTAAATATTCTAAGCTTTTAAAAAAAATTCTCTTCTACTTCTCCCCCAACTACTCCAAGCTTCGAAATCAAAAGCAGCCTGTATTGTACTATGGATATGAATGATGCTGTGCATAGGAGAATTTCTTCCTGGATCTTTCATATCATAATACTGTTAATACACTGAGGACTTCAATCCAATATGCAGCTGCAATCAAAAATACCAGCAAATTGCTGGGTGTAAGCAGAAAGATTTTTTTTTTTAGTAAAAAGAAAACAGAGGGCTTACTTTGTATTACTATCATACAGACATGTGTGAAATGTATAAAGTTCTTGTTACTGAATTTTAGTAAGAGGAAAGTGCAACTCAAAAGTGTTTGAATTCTCTATCAAGGCAGATTATAATTTAGTCAATCAGAAAGTAGAAGGCTGAGTGAATGTAGATTTCTTCCCTCACCAAACTCTGGAATATAAGAGGCTGCCCCTTTGAAGTCTAAATAGGGTTATTTTAGAATCATCAAAAGGAACTATTATTTTGCACAGCAAGCAAAAGGCACATGAATTACCATCCTAAGAAATGGATACAGAGTGAAAACACTATTAAGTTCAAGAAATGCTTAGATAAAGTTATAACTGGTTATGGTCCTAGTCTTCTGAAAGCAATAGTACTCTTCCACAAAAATGTGCCTTAGTATTAATGTCAAAAAGGCAGCCTGGCATGATGTATCAGTTGCTGGGCTGAGAATAAGATATGGGTTCAAATCCTGCCCCCAGCACCAACTAGCTGTGTGACTATGGGTAAGTCAAACTTCTCTAAGCTTCAGTATCCTCACCTCTAAAGTAGGAATAATAATACCTCACAGGGTTGTTGCACAGTATGATATGATCATATTTATGATCATAGATTTAGAGCTGGAATGCCATGGATCCAACTCCTCCATTATACAGATGAGGAAACTGAGGCCCAGAGAGGTTAAGTGCTTTCCTTAGGTAGCAAATGTCAGGTCTAGGATTTGAACTAGGGCTGGGTTATGAATCAAGGTCTTCCTTCCCACTGCATCACAGTTCCTCTCATGACAATGTCTATAAAGTGCTCTGAAAGTTTCTTAATGACCTAAAAGATCAATTATTCATATTACTGGACTAGGTGAATCACTGTCCTAATCCACTATTCCATTTCTTGTGTTATGTAATGTTATGATTCATTTTTATTTCTTTATCATAGGACATAGCATTTACTTCTTAAAAATATATACAAGAAAAACTAGAAGAAACTAAGGAAATGAAGTTATTCAAGTTTTACATGAAATAAATATTGGTTTAACTATTTCTACAACAAATTTACCACAGGGGAAAGCTAAGTCAAGAAGTTTGTGTAGCTAACCCAAAGAAGACAAAAAGAGGTGAAATGTGTTTGATAAAAATTAATGTCCATCCATGAACAAGATATACAAGTCATCTCCTATAAGCCTTTGAAATAAACACAAAATAAGAACAGGTATACAGTGGCTAAGGAACAGAAAAATCATAAGACAGTATAGAAATATAACCAAGGAAAGTAAAGATCCAAAACAGATTGCAGAGGAGACGACCAACTTGTACGAGAAGGTAAGAAAAGAGATGTTTTTAAACATTAGTCTATTTTAAGGAAGAAATCTGGTATCACTAACACAGAAATATCAAGTTACCTCTCAACTACCTGTGATGTCAGAGATTCAGAATGGCATTCAAAGAAGCAAATAACCTAAAATAATTAATATTTTAGTTTTGAATATATTAAGAATTTCTGTAGCAGCTTTTCCTTCCTCGCTATTTTTCCCACCCACCTAAATGCTAAAGGAGGCATCACAGAATGAATGAATATAATACAGCACAGGAACAGTGGAATTCAGCGAGCCCTCAAGTCTGGAAGACCTACTTCAAGCCCCATCTCCCCCCACAGAGTGGCTACTGTAACCTTGGGCAAGTAATTTAACCTCTCAGTGCCCCAATCAACCCTCTAAGGCTAGAAATTGTAGGGCAGACGCTGAACTCTATTGATAGAGGAAGTTTCCTCACCAGGCCTTTCTTTCACCAATAAGATCATAGTTCAAAATTTTTTTAAAAAAATAAATGTTTAGGGAGGATGGAGCCCATTAAGATGGAGAGATCAAATGGGTTTTCTTTTAATTAACAAGATGATTTTTATTATTAACTCTATTAGGTGCCTACCACATACAAGACATTCTGCTAAATGTCACAGAGGATACAAGTAACAAGTATGATCTACTTAAGGACCTTAAAATTTCAAACAGTTTACAATCTAATTAGTAGGACAAGAAGCATACTATACATTGATGGATGCAGGCACTTTTTCTAACAGCATAATATGACTCTTGTTCATGTCCGTGTTTCACAGGGTTCTACCTAATATGGCTTGGGAAGGGCCAGGGGAAGTTTCTCTAAGTATCTACACTTTAAGTAGATCCATCAGAGCCCTCAAGCTTAACTGCCACTCCTTGGTCTTACTACATGACTGGTCTACCTTCTTCTCTGGTCATATGTTTATTTGATATCCTTCATGATTTACAATACTTCTCAAGTATAATTCTTTATTAGCAACAGGTTCTAGCTTACTCATGTCCACCATTCACTACCTCCCCTACTTCCCTCTGGATGTAGTATTCCACAATATTCCAAATAAGCAGCATTGTGCCATTGGGGTTGTAGTGTTAAGGTCTTCACTGCTAAATCTGCTTGGAGCTAGTATACTTGGTGATGGCTTTCGTGCCCTAGAACATGGTGTTCTTGGCCAGCTCCCTGGGCAGCAGCAGGCACATGGCTATCTGGATTTCGCAGGACATGATGGTGGAGTGCTTGGTCTAATGCACCTGGCCAGACACCTCAATACCAATGATGCACTCAAAGTTGTCTTTGATGAATGAGTTCATGATGCCCATCAACTTGGATGAGATTCCCTCATTGGGATGGACCTGCTGCAATACCCTATCCACATAAATGGAGTAACTCTCCTCGAGGTTATGCTTGTGCTTCTTGCCATCTTTCTTGGTACCTTGATCGCAACCTTTTTGGAGCCCTTCTTTGGTGCAGGGTATGTCCTGTTTATCTCAATAGAATATAAACTCCTTAAAGTTGAAGACCATACCATCTACTCATTTATAGGCTAAGAGTCTAGTACAATAAGTATTTCTTGAAGATGCCGACTTAAACAGATAAGTAACAATAAAACTATTATATGCTAAATATCAAAGGAACAGTATAAACAATAGAATTTATTTTTGTTATACAACCCAAAGATTTCATACACATACACACACACACACATACATACATACGTACATACAAACACATATATATATATATATATATATATATATATATATGTATGTATATATATATATATATATATATATATATATATATATATATATAATATATATATATATATATATATATACCCCACAAACTGCTCTAAGTCCATGTAGGGTGTCTTATGAACCTTCAAAAATAAATTAAGATAGAAAACAAAGAGAACAAAAATTCTATCCACACCAGTGATTTACCTAAAAATGCTTAACACTATAGAAAGGAGTTTGTCCTACTTCTTTGAATGCTATCATACAAAAGTAAATGAAATTGTTTTACAGAAATAGTCAAAAACAAAACACTAAAAATTTAGAGCATTTGTCTTGAATGATAAAGAATAACATTTTTCACCAATGACTATATTCATACCAACATTTGGAAAGTATGCCATTTCATTCTACCATTAAAGCTGTTTTAAATTTGTCTAACAAATGGCAAATTTTGCTCATAATGACAAATACTGTGTGCAATAATGAAGTCAATCATATAAGAAGATACAGAAATCTGGGACCTCAGTGCACTTTACAAATAGTAGCACTGGTACCTAATCAACGTTTGTTTATTAATTAATGCTTATTCATCTAAGGACTGTGTATACTCTCTAGAACATAATTCTGTCCTAATCAGTGACTAAAACCCCAGACTCTAGACAAGGCATGTAATATACATAATAAAAGGAGAGGAGGATCAGCTGAAAAGACCATGTTCTTCAGATCCTTGGTTTCTTCTAGACATCACATTACACCCAGAGCTGTGCTAGACAACGTTTAATAATCAGCTCTCCAAGAAGCATGATGCACTTTTAAGTTTAACCTCCATCATTAACATTTTCTCCATTATTTTTTAAAGTCTACACAATCAACAAAACAATAAATCAAACCCTGATCTGTAGTGTTTATTGATTTCTGAGGCGTAAATGAATGCTCACAGTGAAAATTTAACAAGCTGGCTCCAGCATATCTTCATGTAGCCCACCAAATTCAGTGATAATACACTAAATAACCCCAGCATGCTAAAGCAGCTCAATGTGTACAGAGGACTATGAACAACTAATGAGAACCATATGACATTTTTCTATAAGATTCCAAGGGACTGAGTAAGTTCTACTTCAACTCAGTTCCATTGCTAAGTGGATCTCCCTCATCAGAGCATTTAGCACTGACAGACATAGCCAAATGGGTGGCTCTCTCCTCCTGCAACAACCATCAATAAAGAAGCAAGAGTTGGCCATGGTCCCAAGACATTCATACACCATAAGAGCTCTACTGGGTGCTTGGAAGGACCTTAGACACCATAAATCCAACCCTCTCATTTTACAAATGAGGAAACTAAAGCCCAGGAGAGTTGTATTTTTTTCAAAATAACATAAGTAATAAGTATGGGAGACATGTTTGGAACCCAAGTTCTCTGAATCCTGAGCTAGTTCTCTTTCCAGTGCACCCTGATTAGAAATTTGTTGAAAGGTAGCTGATTCCTGACTCCTCTTGTAAAATACTACAATTACTAAATTGAATATGATTATTAAATAGCAAGTAACAAAATGAAAAGAAAGAGGAGGGACAGAGAGAGAGGATAATCATACCTTTTAAACCCTGAATTTTGTAAATTATATACAAACTGCACAAATTTAGTTCTGATCTTTTATTTTTCCTATGGATCATGAATTAGTTTCTCAATGTGTAATAGATAGAAAATATCAAATACCCTAGGCAAAGTAAAAACACCTTTGATTATTGTTCACTATCTTCACATCAGTTTTATTACTTTGATGAAGATAGTGCTGTAGAGGAAGCAAATTCAAAACATGAACATATCATTGTACCTAATTCATAATAAATGTGGATCCATTTCCCCTACAGGGAAATGAAATCAAAATATGTGTATTTTAACCATTCTGCAACCAGAAGAGCTGAAATGAATGCATTTTCTGTTATTAATGCATCAGTATTTAATTTCACTGGTACTAAAATTCTTTTGTGCATTCAGACAAATGAGAAAACACTTATCAATAAAAGATGTATTCAAGTTATTGATAAAATCAAAATTTAAATATTTAGGCTCAGAAATTAATCTTTCATAAAACCATTTTATCAGAAAAATAATACAACTATTTGAAGCAAAATGGCAATATGTATACAATATTTTAATGTGTCTCACATCTGAAATTGACTGAAGCTTAACAGTGGAGACAAAAAAAAAACCTCACTGTTGTGATGATCTGTCCTGATTACTTTATGGAAATCTAAGGCATTTATTAACCATGATCTGTATATGTAAGCAAGAAAGTTAATGTGACAATAAACATTTTTAATGTGATTTACTACTGAGGCAACACCTCATAAAAATGCTGAATTAAAAAAGAAAATATTTTTAAATGTAGCTCATTAAGCCTAATAGATTATCGAGAAAAATGGAGAGACCCAAGCAGTTTATGCCTTGCAGTATATAAGATAATTTTCCAAGAAGAAAAAACTACAGGATTACGGAAGGTCCACATGCAAGACAAATCGTCTTGTTCAATTGCAGTCATTCTATGTGTCACTTCTGTCACCAGAGAGAATTAAAATTGGTATGAAGTTGGTATAAAAATGATTTTTATTAGCTTAATGTTAATGTGATCTACACATCCTTATTTGAAAATATATTAAATTCCTAATATCATTCTTCATGGATATAGATTGTTGTCATCATAATATCTCATTGAGAAGTAAAAAAAGCATTTCTAGGAGGCCTGACCTTTTATAAAACAGTCTTCTCAACTAATGTGGAATTTAACAAGTGCCAAAGTAAAAGAAACAGGTGACTTGCCATGTAATGAATACTTCATTAGGAAGGGATATTGGTCAACTCTGATCTCTGCTATAACTTATGCAAATACTCCTACCCAATGACTAAAATACATTATTCGTATAAAGAATAGAGCAAATTTATTAAACAGCAGTGAGTTTCCTATGAACATTACTAATTTAATACTATGATACAAACTAAATTGGGTTTTTAGTAACTAATCTGCATATGTTTAATTATTGTGTCCTGTGATAGTCAAATGGAAATATTTTATAAATTCAGAAACATCAATAATCTAATTATCAATTTCTACTATTATTCCAAAACCATTTCCCCATTACATTAAAAAGACTTGTGTTTGGCTTCTTTCTGCCTTATTCCCCTTTTTTCATGTTATATTAAATATAATGCTTCCAGTCACCCAGATACACAATCTCAGACTTACTCTCTTCTTCTCCCTCCCTCTCAATACCCATATAAAATCAGTTGCCAACTCTTAACTATTCAACCTCTACAACATTTCTCATACATCTACCCTCTTTTCCTCAACTCATATTCAACCACCCTAATTCAGGTCCTCATCATTTCTTAGCTAGACTATTACAATACCCTCATAACCTCTCCCTGCCTCAAGGTTCTCTGCTTTCTAATCCATCCTCCTCACAGCTGCCAAACTGATATTCCTGAAGCACAAACTTTTGATCATCTCACTTACAATGCTCCAAGAAAGAAAAAAAAAGCTCTAGTGACTCCTTACTGCCTCCAGGATAAAATACAAAATTCTTTAATTCTTTTAAAGACCTTTTTAGACCTTTAAAGACCTTTCTTTTAAAGCTTTCATTTAAAGACCTTTACAATTTGGCTCCAGTCAATCTAGGCACAATGATACATTGCTTCCCTCTCCAATTCATGTTCCAGATATACTACTCAGAGCCAAGATGGCAGAGTAAAAACAGTGACTTGCAAGAGCTCTCCCCCAAATCCCTCCAAATACCTGTAAAAATGGCTCTAAACAAATTCTAGAGGAGCAGAACCCACAAAAAGACAGACTGAAAAAAATTCCCAGTCCAAGACAACCTGGATGGTTGATTGGAAAGGTCTATTCCGCCAGGCTGGGAGAGGAGTGCAGTTCACCATGGGCACACAGGCAAAGACTAGGCTTCAGCAAACCTGGAGCAGGCCTTAGGGGACTGAATCATGGGCAGCTGTGGTGGTTTTCTGACTTCTCAACCTACAAACACCAAAGACAACTTAGAAGGTCAGTAGGAAAATCTGCTGGACACGGTGAGAGAGGAGGTTGGTACCACTGAAGCTCCGGGGTGGTGGCTGCTTCTGGAGCTCCCAGTCTACAGACTGTGGGGAAATGGAGTAGCTGATCAAATTGGGATTGCAGGGATCTCTTTGCTGGTGCTGAGGCAGGATTCTTTGGCTTTGCCCATGCTTGGATCTGGGTCGCAGTTCTGGGTGGAGGTCCTGGGGTTAGGAGGAGCACTGGTGTGGTGGAGCTTGTAGTGGCAGTAGAGACAGAATCCTCCTCACAGTTACAAAACAGAAGAGAGTGCTTGTGGTCACTCATAGACCAGAGCACAGGCCAGGAAAGGAGTAAACACCTCACCCTTGATCATACCACCTCAGAAAAAGGAAAATTTACATGTCCCTTGAAGTATCTCTGAAAACAACGGCACAAAATCCCTCAAAGCTTGGGACAGTACATTCTCCACACTGCAAGCAGACCCCTACCTAACAAAAGAGTTTAAAACTCAAGTAACTGGCTGGGAACATGACAAACAGCACAAAAAAAAGTCAGACCATAGAATCTTTCTTTGGTGAAAAAGATCAAAACGTACAACCAGAAAAAGGCAACAAAGTCAAAGCTCCTACATCCAAAGCCTCCAAGAAAAATATGAATCAGTCTCAGGCCATGAAAGAGCTCAAAAAGGGTTTTGAGAAGCAAGTAAGAGAAGCAGAAGAAAAAACAGGAAGAGAAATAAGAGT